TGAAGATCCAAATGTAGGCATTAGAAGGTACTGATAGTAATTACAAATAACAGTTAATCATAAGCCTTTCATAAGATAGAGAGTTCTCTTTAATTATTTGAAAGAAAAACTTTCCAAACAAAGAAACGTTTGCGTTTTGGAAGACGAGTGTTTCCTTGCAGCATTTGCGCACAGTAACCCTTTGAGATCTCTCTGCTGGTGTCATTTGTAGGAAAGCAGGCTTTATTGTACGTAGTGGATTGAAAGATATCTTACCTACACTAAAAAATACATCATTTCTGTCCATTTCTTAAGTTGATTTGAAAATTCCTTTTCTTCAGCAGTATGAATTTTTCTATCTGTAGGATAATGTTTATTCAAATAAAATAGTTTTTGAAATTTCTTATGAATGAGTGTGAGAAACTACTTCATGTGGCCCTCCATCTCCTAAGATAATTTCTTTGAATGTGGAATGCTCTCATTTGCTATTTGAAAGCACTCACTCATTTAATCTAAATGATCTTGTCAATCTAGCAAATATTTATGGTTTTTTTGTTTGTTTGTTTTTGTTTTAAGAATAAATTAAATATATTCAGGGGAATATAATTCCCCTGAATTAATACAAAAAATAAAAAATAAATACAAAAAAATGAAAAAAAATACAAATAAATAACATACAAAAAAAAAAAAAAAAAAAAGTGATTTTTTTCCACAAAAAATCTCAGTACAAGTTGATGCATATGAGTGCAATGTATGTAAACACAAATACAGTGATAACAAACAGTGAGAACTCCTGAAATCCTCAGAAAGACCGTTAAGGTTAATGATTAAAATGCTGAGTGTTTTAAGTCTTAATGTGTTTGACAAAAATCTGTTTTCCAAGGAGCTTTCAAATTCGTCATGTCAGCTTCCAAAGGATAATCTCAAAAGACTGTTAACAGAAGTGAAGTTATGATGCTGAAATGGAAAAGAGACAAAATATGACTCTTTTTTCTGCTCCATTTCATGATCAGTCTTCTGAAAGACATGGAGAGTTGGTGCACAGAGGTCCTCCAAAGATAGGCATTTTCCTTGTTGTTACAGGCAAGATCAGGGAATCCTCCAGCATTGCTATAAGTGTCCTGGGGTTTAAACAGTGATTAGTACGATGCTTTAATACAGGGATAATTTAAATTGAGAAACAAAACAAGAGATCTTGTGTGGAAAAGAAAAAGACATGTAGCGGTAATAATAATAAGAAAGGCAGAAATTACCGAAGATGTAAAATTCCATCGTGTGTAAGGAAAGCAAAAGCATCTCACACTTTCCAATAGTATCAAATTTTATTCCACTGTAAATATTAAATCTATTCTTAAAAAAAAAAACAAAAAACAACCAAAACCAAAAAAACTATGGGGATAGAGAGAGGCTGTTGTCAAAAGTTTTTCCTCCAACAGTACAGAGAAGAGTGAACTGAAGAAGCTGAAAGAAAAGAAACTGATATGCTACAGATTAGACTCAAATTGCAGAAATATGAGCGTTACAGAAACAGCACAAATAGCCTACTATTGGATATCCTTATTTACATGGATTGTAATGTTTGTGTAATGCAGGCTTCTTTTATATCCATATCTGGGAAATCCAGTTGTATGGGGTCAGAAAGAACAGGGGCAGCTCATAAAAACCTGTCTTTAGTGTAACAACAGAATGGTATACAGGTTGAGCAGAAGGAAGGTTCATGATTAGAGTGTGTGCACTCTAACATTCAGACAAATTTTTTACTGTGGTGGCTCCTTTGGGGGTGACATCTGAGTGATTTTAGTAGCTGTGCTTGTTGTTACTCTTTTTCCTTCTCCAGTAGTAAGCTATTACATCCTGAAAATCATCAAGTCACTGTTGTACCTCAGGTGTTTTTCATGAACCCTGGAAAAAAAGCTCTTCAACCTTGGGAACATAACATAAGGATCTCTTTCCATTTTTCTCAGCTTCCAGGCATGTTTAGTTTAGGCTGGCTAGGCTACTGTAAGGTCTGTGAACTTATCAGTAGCCTTCAGGGTCCTGCAAACAAATGAGGTGGTCACAGCTGTGCACTTCCCAGGTGCCAGTACAAAGCCATCCCGATCTTCAGTGGATGTGGTCATTCTGCAGCCACAGTGCCCTATTCCAGTTCTGAAGAAGCAATTCCTCCTGGGCAGTGCTTGTTTTTGCAAGCTTGATGTGGCACTGCACAAGAAACAAGGATTTTGAGAGAAGTTCTTCAAGAAATAGCTGCTCTGCTTGTCTCACTTCCTGTCTTTGCATTTACTTTGCAGCTCATCCAGTCCAACTCCCCTGCAACAAAGAGGGAGACCTACTGCTAGATCAGGTTGCTCAGAGCCCTGTCCAGCCTAACCTCAAATGTCTCCAGGGACAGGGCGTCCACCGCATCTCTGGGTACCCTGTGCCAGTGCTTCACTGCCCTGTTCCTGGGAGGGGAAAAAAAAACAAAAACAACCACGTTTCCCAAATGTCCAGTCTAAATCTCCCCTGTTTCAGTTTCAAACCATTTCCCCTTGATGCTATCCTGTCTGAGAGAATATTTTCCTCCTGAATCAGTTTGAAAGCTTCTATATATTTTCAGTAGGCACTCTTAAAACAGTGCATTTCCTTGAAATTTCAGGCAGGAAGAAGTTTGGTTTTCTGCCTAGATCCGGCTGCTGCAGAGGTCGTTGCTATTGGCTTAAGGGAAATGGAAGCAGACCCATGTAAGTCAGTCCCTCACAGGGCATGCTCTCTGACTCCTGAGGCAGCAATAGAATGTGGACAGTGTGGTGCTTGGTCTTGTGCTTCTTTGGAGCAAGTAAGGCATCAGCTGAGACATCATGCCTGTTCTGCTGGGGGGAGAATGCAGTCTGCTTTCTAACTGTGTTCCTTTTGCTTTGTCTCTCAGGAGCTAAGATTACACAAAACTCAAGTCTGGTACTGAAAGAAGATGAGAATGCTACCCTGGGATGCAGTCAAAATGACAATCACAATTATATGTACTGGTATCTGCAGCAGCCAGGAAAAGGGCTGCAATTAATCTATTATTCCAATGGACCAAATCAGGAATATAAGGGTGATATTCACACTGGATACGAAGCTAAGCGGATAAGCCTAGAATACTTTCGTTTAGATATCATGTCTGTGAAGAAGAACCATTCAGCTACCTATTTCTGTGCCTCAAGTTTGGACACAACACTTCAAAGTCACTTGCTTTCTGTACAAAAACTCCTCTCCAGTACCTTTCCTCAGAAGGGAGTAGCTTCAGCACAGGATCATGGTATGTAGGTCAAGTGGCTACTCACAAAACATAGGCTGCTGAGGAGCTGGTCCAAGAGAGGTCAAGCAGGTTCCGTTTCATTGCTGAATTCCTCTTTTCTGATCAGCAGTTCATCCTCTATCAGTCATGACAGTTCTTAAAGCTTGTCAGTCAAATCCAGACATACAATGATACTCACTGTGCATGGAAAGGTTGTTCTAATATCCGGAACTGAAGAGAACAAGATCTCAGTAGAAATAGAGAGGTGGGATATAGTAGAATGTGATCTTATATGAAATCACGTTCCAGGAAAATATAGATATATTTTTATTCAGAAATTGATCCTTTTATTCAGAAATCGCTTACACAGTCCAGATTTCTTCTGCATGAAGCATCAGTTTTATACATGCTACATCTATCTGTATATGCCTCATACCTATGTCTGTGCTGCAGCCTGATAACCTGTAAGGCAATCTCTGTCCTTTCATTTTTCCCCTTCCATCCTTGGACGAGTTGTGTGTACATTTCTGACAACCCTGTGGTCTTTCTTCTCGCACATTCTCAGCGTTCTCTTTGATTTCGAGCTAAGTCTGAAGCATTCCTAGTTTGAAGACAAAAGAGTAGAAGGAGGAACAAGCAGGATGTGAATGTAATTTTAATTACTGCATGAATTCTTCCTGATGGAATGTTTCATACCCGCATAAAGAATGTCAGGTCTCTCACACACAAAGTCCTCCCAGTGTCTTCCTTGGTAAGAGTTCTAAGGCAGCATCCCTGTCCCACTCACGGTCCTTAAAGTAGTGGCTTATTTCCACTGCAGTAGCAAGAAACCACCAAGCCAAGTCCTTGTGATGTACTGTGAAATCCAACTGCATAAGATGCCTGTTCTGAAATAAACTACATACGTGTTCATGCACAGTTGGTATTGTTTCCACAGCTGTGTTGTGACTCACAGCCTGCCCCTTAACTGCCCCTCGATTCTACTCTCTGCATTTACTCGTACCTGGTCTCACGTGCCCCCACAATCACCTGGAAGTGATTACATTCACATGGACACTCACACAGGCACAGGAGGAAGTCAGTAAGTTCACTCTTGTTTCTCCAGCCGCTGGTACCTGTGATCTGTGGTCTGGCTCCGGGCTGTGTATCCACCTTCTTTCCAGTAGGCAGCAATGTTACACAAGTCACAACAGAAACACCTTAGCTCTCACATTGTGTCTTCCATGTCTGTCCTTTGAACAACCTTTTTCTCCTTCCTGAGACAGAAAAGTTACTCTGAATAAAAGTGCTCATCTTGGAACAAGAGAGAAACTCTCCTGGGTCTGACAGTAGAAGACTGTTTTGCCCAGCAGCACACGCATGGTTTTGCCTTGACTCAGAGTTCCGCAACAGAGAGTAATCACAGAATAAGTTCTGGTGGTCTCCACAGACTCTTTCCTTTCCCATTAAGTCTCTGAAATAGCTTGACTGTTCAGGAGCTAAGGTCTGTTTTTTGTCAGAAGGAAGGCTTTTTAACAGGTCTGGCACAACAGATCTTAATCAAACGGAGCACAGTTTTTTGCCTCAATTATCTTTTGCTTCTGTCTGGCAGAAGTCTTGAGCTGTGAGGTGTAATTGTCTTTCATGTATTAAGAGCGTCTCTCCAGAGTGGAACAATGTGTGTGTAAATTTAGTGGAATAATGAACTTGGGAAGGCTGTCCTGAATTCAAGCCACTGCTGAACACAAGCTAAAAACTCACTGTTTGGGTCCGAGGCTGATAGGCCCAGACATGCACAAAGATGAAATGACGGTCAGAGCAACATCCAGTCAAAATGTTTTGGTCTGAAAACACTCCCACCTTTTTGTCATCAGCTCAGATCTCTGCTTCTCTGGCAGGCGGGCCAAAGACAGACAAATCTCACAGCCACACAAACGCTTGCTTTTGCTTTTAATGGCTCAGCAACAACATTTTCCGATGTGAAACGTGTCTTCTCTGTCCTCCGCCCAAGCTGATGGGAAAATCTGAACAAGGCGAGGGGTATCAGTCTCTCCAGCCTCTCTCTCCTCCCTCATTCTCTTCTGGGACAGCTACTCCTCGTCATGCTGACCATTTTGCTTGCTCTTCTACCTGGTGAGAAACTGCAGATCCATCTGCGCTGTTTGGCTTTCTTATTGGCCACGTGGGGCAGGTGCAAGTGAAGAGCTTGTGAGGCCACTGTGTTTACTTTTTCTCATTTTCTCTCTCTCACTCCTTCAGGCTCTGGTGTGGGACACACTGTCACACAGAGGCCAGAATATGCCCTCAAGAGAGCTGGAGAGAGTGTGGACCTCACCTGTTCTGGCAGGCCTGCCTACGTCCTGTGGTACCAGCAGCCTTCAAGAAATAGTCTGAAGTTAATAGCCAGCACTTCTCGGTGGCATCAGAATTCTTATGAGGAAGGTTACAGTGAAGCCAAGTTTGAGATCAGCAGGGACAAGAACAATCTCTCCATTATGACTATCAAGAATGTGACATCCAAGGATGCTGCCACTTACTTCTGTGCTATGAGTGATCACACAATGCAGCAAGAGCATTAAGCACTTACACAAAATCCTCACCCTGCCTGAAGGAGAGACAGAGTCTCTGTAAAACATGAGACCGATTGGAGAGGGGCAGGAGAAGAGCAGAGGGAAAACAAGGGCAAAGTCAGGGAATGGAGCCTGGACTCTTGGAAGGCAAGAGGGTCTGCCAAAGCAATGGAGCAGCATCTATCTTAAAGAAAAAAGGCATTCAGAAACACAAATGCATAGCCTAATATTAAGAACTGTGGTACTGCTGGCTGACAAAAGGCACTAGACACTTCTCAGGATTAGTGCTATAGAAGCACAGGTTCTTGGTCACTAGTTCCCCACAGGCCCAAAGATGGCACTAAGGAGAATGATGTGGTAAAATACAAAGCAGGAGGTGAATTCAAGGCTCTTTCACATACTTCACAGCCAGAGAAAGGAAACCACAAAGTGCTGCTCCCACATAGTGTTTCCATTGTGACGGACTGGTGCAGGCAGAAGTTGAACACACCTTGGTCTGAGTGATGCCTAAGCAGATATTCCCTAACACAGAAAGATGCACACAAACCCATATAAGGCTCCCTTTGAGACTAAGGGAAGGAGCTGCCTTCTCCTGTGGGGAAGCACTTGTTGTGTGGGCAGTCATCGTCCAGTCTGCTTAGAAGAATTTCAGGCACCTCAGCAGTGATATGTGGGACTCCAACATCGTGGTCAGTCGATCATAAAGAACAGCAAAATAGCATGCCCTCAGGCAGCACTCTGTGCCCCAGGTCGGGTCTCAGCACACCTGCTTCCTCCCAAGGTCACAGGAAGCCCTGATGGAAAAACAAACTTTTTCTTTTCTCTTTCATTTCTTTCTTGTTCTAATACCCCTTTAATATAACTAATCAGCCACTCTCAACAGCACAAAACACATTACAGGCGGCCAGCTGGTAATGCCCTTAGAGAGAAATGTCTCTATAAGCCTCTCTATGCTACCTGCTTAAATAAACAAGAGGACACTGCAGACCTTTTCCCAGGCCAAGGCCGGAGCTTGCAGCAGAAGGAGAAGCTCGGGGGAGACCTTATTGCTCTCTATAACTACCTGAAGGGAGGTTGTAGGGAGCTGGGGGTCGGCCTCTTCTCTTGTGTAACCAGTGATAGGACCAGAGGGAATGGCTTCAAGCTGTACCAGGGGAGATTTAGGCTGGATGTTAGGAAATATTACTGCTCTGAAAGAGTGGTCAGGCACTGGAATGGGCTGCCCAGGGAGGTGGTGGAGTCACCGATCCTGGAGGTGTTCAAGGAACGTTTGGATTTTGTGTTGAGGGACATGGTTTAGTGAGAACTATTGGTGATAGGTGGATGGTTGGACTGGATGATCTTGTAGGTCTTTTCCAATCTTGGTGTTTCTGTGATTCTGTGAAGAATTCAGGCCATTCTGTTGGATGATGAATGAACTCCTCTGAGTTCAGGTTAAAATCCTGACACGTTCTCTCCACCCTCTTCCTCTTTTTAAAGAAGATATACTGCTTCATGAATGGTAAATACTCTCTTCTGCCCACTACAAGAGGACATCCCATAGGACCATTTTTCAGCTCTTTCCAAACATAAACTCCTGAGGTATACGACTCCATCTGCAAGCAGTTATCTTGTTTAACGCAGTGAGGCTGCAGCAAAGTATTGGTGGCTCCAGAAGCACTGAGGAAGGCAGGCTGCTGAATGGAGGGCAGCTGTCTTAGATATTACCAAGGAACAAGCAACGTCAGCTTGCATTTCTAGAAACACATGTTTCTGCTTTAGGTATTATAGTCAGCTGTATCATCACTGCACTCAGATAAAATAAGTAAATTTGTCCAGGCTGATGCAAGGCCCTGGGAAAGTTAAAGCTGGAGAGACCGTGGGCTGGTAAAGATAAAGCTCTCTGGGAGCATAAAGCGGAGGAGTTTCTGAGGCTAGTCTTTGTACATGTCACAGAGCTTGGTGGTGGAAGCACCATGAATTCTCTCTTCCTGATTGTCTCCTGCCTGGGAGCAGCTGGTATGAGCTTCTGAGCTCAGCAAACCTTCTCTCGTAACCTCTCAGCTCTCCCTCTCTACCTGCATTTCGCCTTTCTCCAGTGGCAGACTATTCCGCTTTTCTTCTTCTATATCAGCCTCCTAGACAGACAGAGAAGGTAGGATATGACAGGGGCATACGAAACTATGAGGGGCTGGCAGTCTCTTTCTGTACAAGAATTAGGGAGTATGTGACAAAGGTAGGTAGTCTGGCACCAAACTTTTTTCTTTTAGGAAAGCTGTGAATCCCTTTCTGCAGTATTTTTGTGGGTGCAAAAGGTTTACACAGCCTCACAAAGTGGGGGGACACATTTGTGTAAAAATTTTTTTCAAAAGCTACAAGGTTGAAAGACATCCCACCTGACCAACAAATGTCAAGTCCCTGAGTTGATGAAGGCCAGGGAGGGTCTGGGGATGGGTTTCATATCTTCTGCATTTGGCATCTGTAATTGGTGGTCAGAGACAGGTTTCTCGCCTGCAACGTGCTTGTGCAGTGGTTTCTGAAATGGGGAGTGTGCAGGGATATGCAAGAGGATCCATTAGGGTGTGGGAAGAAAACATTAGAATTGTGGTAGTACGTATACATAACTTGCAAATGAGTAAAAATTCATATATTGCAGGGAGGGACAGGTGTGCTGAAAGGGTTTTTGCTGATAGGGATGTGCGATCAAAAAAGGTTGGCTACCATTGTTCCATTGGCTTCAACAAACATGTTCTTTCTCACATTCAAACAGATCGTTTCATACATTCAAAGACATTCTTTCTTGCGTTCTTCTCCAGCTCCACGGGGTCTTTCTGTTTACCCTGATTCCTTTGCTACCAGCGTTTTCCTTCTCTCTTGTTCATTGCTTCTTTCCCTCCAGAAGATTAGAAATTCTGCCAACATTCTCGAGTGCATTTGCTCTCTTCCAATTTGCACACTACACAGATGACCACCACGAGCTGTCTACCATGCCATAGTTGTTGCATTCTGTTCCGAATGTTCCAAATGGAAGGAACACAGTGAAGCTTGCATACAGCTAATTTGTGAGGTTCTCTGGCAGCTTTTACTCTTTTGTTCTCTTCCTGACTTGAGGTGGTAAAGACAAAGCCTCACGTTTCACAGTAGCACTGGATGGAAGAAGTCAGCAGGATGTTTCAGGTGTTGTGTGAAGATTTCTGAAGTTTCATGCTCTTTTGGCTCTTGCTCATTTGTCTGTAGCTCACCGGCTGTGGCTACGCTTGAAGAGAATGGAGTCAGGCCAGGAGCTGTGAAACCCAATTCTCTTTCTTGCAGTTGCTTTCCCGGGAGGTGCTGATGATGACAAGATTGTGGGAGGCTACACCTGCCCAGAGCATTCGGTTCCCTACCAGGTGTCCCTGAACTCTGGGTATCACTTCTGTGGAGGTTCCCTCATCAACAGCCAGTGGGTCTTGTCAGCGGCTCACTGCTATAAATCGTAAGTATGGCTTGGGTTGAGTATCTGGATAGGTTCTAGTCAAATCTTGCAAACACATCAGATCTGGAACTTGGGCGCCTCACGAGAGATTACAATCCAATGGGGCAATACAATGCATGGTATACCTGAGGACTAAAGGAGAAACTCTACGCTCGGTCTCACTTCTCTACATGATCTTTCCAATACTTTTGCACTCTTAGCATCCTTTTCTGTGCAACATAACATGCCTTTCTGTCCCCATTTGCGTGGCTTACCATTACCGTTTTGTTCTTTTTCATTCCTTCAGATCCTCCCTGTGGACCTTTCTTTGTCCCAAATTTAGGACATGCTGCTGTGCAGAGTGAACACAGCTTAGGGATCATGCTTCCCTGCAGTGGGAGACTTAATCTCCCTTTCTGAAGCATTGCTCTAGGTGTCTGGAGTCCTCCATCCATCCATCCTCCACTGACACAGCTGCAAGCTGAGGACAGGATCTGCTGTTCTCATCCGCTGGACAGGATGCCCACCTGGCAAGGCTTTCCAGACTCTGTCTTCCACAACATCAGAAAGTTTCTAGAGCTCTGTGACACATTAACCTTTGATTAGGGCAGCACTCTCTTACTCTCTTCCAAGATTGTGCATACCCCATGGGGCACGAAGCTGTTCAACCCACGGCTAACTGCTGTTTTTCTCTGTTGGCAATGTTGCAGCCGTATACAAGTGAGACTGGGAGAGTACAACATCGATGTGCAGGAAGACAGTGAAGTAGTCAGGAGTTCATCAGTAATCGTTCGCCATCCTAAATACAATTCAAGAACCATTGATAATGACATTATGTTGATCAAGTTGGAATCTGCAGTGGAATATACTACTGACGTTCAACCCATAGCTCTGCCCAGCACCTGCGCCAGTGCGGGGACCGAGTGCCTGATTTCAGGGTGGGGAAACACGCTGAGCAATGGCTGTGAGTATCAGCACGCACTGCAAGCAGCTGTTTGCGCTTCTCCCGCTCTACCACCATGTTCATGAGACTCCACACACATTTCACCTGATTTCTTTCCTTGTTCTGCCTGCATGGTCACCGCACTGCTCTGCCAGTATGCCTCAGCATACAAGGCACATCAGATTTGCTCCTGTAGCTTAAGGGTTTGCTATACCCTGCTTTCCTGGATGGCTCTCATGGATGGCTCGCAGATAGGCCTTCAGGTCTTTTTGTTAACTGACAGTACTGGGTCTCAGGGAAAGAACAAACGTTGTCCTTACTCTCCTGGCAGACAATTACCCTGAACTTCTCCAGTGCCTGAATGCTCCAATTCTGAGTGACCAAGAGTGCCAAGAGGCTTACCCGGGTGAAATCACCAGCAACATGATCTGTGTCGGGTTCCTGGAGGGTGGGAAAGACTCATGCCAGGTAAGAGCTGATGTTGGTGCAGAGCCCTGGGCCACACAACTGCAGCGTGCCCCGGACTGTATGGTGTGTTTCAACATTTGGCAGCATGCTTAGGCCTTCTCATAGGATCGTAGGACGGCTTAGGGTGCAAGAGACCTTAAAGATCATTGAGCTCCAACCCCCCACTACAGGCAGGCTTGGTTGCCGCCAACCAGATCAGGCTGCCCTGAGACCCCATCCAACCTGTCTTTGCACACCTCCAGAGGGATAGGGCATCCACAACTTCTCTGGTCAATCTCTTCCAGCGCCTCACTACCCTTGGACTAGAGAGGATACCTCATCATCTAGTGTTCTTTTCTGACACAGTATCTTTCCAGCAGGGCTTGGCTGCCGCATGGACTTCACCAAAAATAGCAAGTCCAGCCAGATCTGCTGGGAAAACTATAGTCACCGTGAATTGTTAG